CAGACTGACAGTGACTGACTGACTGACTGACTGACTGACTGACTGACTGACTGACTGACTGACTGACTGACTGACTGACTGACTGACTGACTGACTGACTGACTGACTGACTGACTGACTGACTGACTGACTGACTGACTGACTGACTGACTGACTGACTGACTGACTGACTGACTGACTGACTGACTGACTGACTGACTGACTGACTGACTGACTGACTGACTGACTGACTGACTGACTGACTGACTGACTGACTGACTGACTGACTGACTGACTGACTGACTGACTGACTGACTGACTGACTGATGGATGGATTGATTGATATTTTGATTTATTAATCGGTTCATTTATTTATTTATTTATTGAAATTTACTTACATCAATAAATAAAACATTTCTTTCATACAAAAAAGTACGACGAAATAGGCAGAGACACGACTGCCTGAACGAACACGACATGTATGGGAAGCCAGCTTAACAATGCGGAATGAAGAATTGATACTTGCTCCACTAAACTTGCGTACACTATAGAATTCTTTGAATTTATCGTCTAATCATTAAGTTATATACCATTAAATATACTCATCTTTAAATTCTATTAAAATTTATATCTCTCAATATACATATAGAATTTAACACAATTTTACGTGTCATAACATACAAACAATATTAAATTTTCTAACCACCAAAAATTACAACAATGATAAATGACAATATCAACATAAAATATGTAAACGGCAACAAAAATATTCACAAACTAACTACTACTATCAATGTCAAAAAAAGCGGCAGGCAAGGTACTGCAATAACAATGCTACGAAATACATCATCCCACGTGCTCCGACACAAATTCTAATACATCAAAATAACTACAGCTGACCACAAAAACGGCTTTCAATTTAATAAATATGTTTTCTCAAAGTACGACTACTCAGTGCTCAGTCCGCCTTCCTTGAAGTGATCCCGCTTGCATAAAACTAAGTTAAATCAGTTTTTAATCTAAATCACAATTAGATGATGTTTTTTGTAAACATTATGAAATTCACTCGATTCTAAAAACAGAATGAAAAGAATGAACTAAAAAATTTGGATAACAATAGGGTGACAGGACCAAGACCCCCAAACAAAAAACCCCCAAACAAAATAACTTCCAAGTCAAAATTTCCCCGAACAAAAACAAAACCCCCAAAACAAATTAAGTTCATATTAATTTTTATTATTCATTAATTTATCCCTTGGTGAGTCGTTGGATTAAGACTCAGTTATTTTTTACTAACATTATTTGCTTACTACGTTTTATCTATTAATCAATTATATATTTTGGGAGTCTAACTTTTTTATATAAACTAAAAATTATCAAAATGTATCTTCAATTTCATTTTCATTTAATTACCATCTCATCACTCAATATTCCTTCAACACGTCATTCACCAATATATCGTACTAATTTTACTCACACTGTTTTATTTTCTACCGTTCTTATAAACTTT